ATCTTTTCTCTTGTCTGGACCACTGTAAGTACCTTTTTAAAAAAAAAAAAAAAAAACCTTTTTATTATAGAAGATTTCAACAATGCAAAAAAGTAGAGACTAGTACAATGAATACACCCATTGCTACAACCAGTATAAACTCATGGCCATTCACTTCATCTGTACTGCTCACTTCCTGTTGCCACCTAACTGTGTTATTTTGAAGCAAATTTCAGCATATTAATGCATCTATAAATATTTCAGTGTGAGTCTCTAAAACAACTTTCAAATAACAATCACAATACCAGGGGCACCTGGGTGGCTCGGTTGGGCGTCTGCCTTCAGCTCAGGTTGTGATCTCAGGGTCCTGGGATCGAGCCCCATGTCAGGCTCCCTGCTCAGTGGGGAGTCTGCTTCTCCTTCTCCCTCTGCTGCTCCCCCTGCTCATGCTCTCTCTCTCTCAAATTAAAAAAAAAAAAAAATCACAGTAACATTCTTCACATTATGCATTAGGTATTTCTTTAAATCATTAACTAATCATATTTGCATTAGTTATCCACTGCTGTGTAACTGGGTGGTTTAAAACAATAATAAACATTTATTGCTGCTCACAGTTCCCATGGGCTGGAAACCTGAGAGCAGATGAGCTAGGTGGTTCTGGATCAGTGTCTCCTGAGATGCCAGTCACCTGGAAATCCAACAGGTCCCGGAGGATCTGCTTTCCGTGCAGCACATCGACACTGGCTGGCAAGTGGGTGCTGGCTGTTGGCAAGGGGCTCCAGTCCTCAGTACCAGGGCTCTCCACAGGGCAGCTTGAATGGCCTCACAACCTTGCCTGGTTTCCCCAGAGCAAGCAAACCAAGGATCCAAGGAGGAAGCTGCAAGACCTTTCGCGACCCAGCCTCGTAAGTCACACATGTCTACAATATTTCCTGGGTCACACATGCCAGCCTGCTTCATTGTGAGAGGGTGGGAATACCAGCAGGCTAGGATTTTAGGAGGTCGTCCTAGAGAATGGTAACCACAGGTTCAAATTGCCCCGGTTGTCTGTCTCTCTCTCATTTATAGTTGGTTTATTTGAATCAGGATCCATGCTTGCATTTTGTTGATATGGCTCATAAGTCTTATTCTCTAGTAGGTTCCTTCCCCTCTTGTTTTTTCATTTTGTCTTTTCTTTGCCCTTTTTTTTTTTTTTAAAGAAGCCAGGTTGTTTGTCCTTAGTTTTACATTTACTGGATTTTGCTGCTTACATCCCCATGATGTCATTTAACACAGTCCTCTGATTCATGTCTTTCCTGTAAACTAGTACTTAGATCTAGAACTTAATATGATTCGGATTCTTTTTTTTCCCCCATGAAAGCTTCAATGGTAATGTTTTCATTATTTCATTAGAGGTTTACAAAATAGTGATAAATTAACCCTATAATTCCATCATCTATTAGCTGGAATATTTCTGTAGATAGAAACTTTCACTCACTTTTTGACTACCTTGCCGCACAGTTAATACAGAAAAGATACATGCTTGTTTCTTTCCCTTTATTAACAAGTACTAGCATCCTTCAGAGGTGACCAATAAGATATTTTTAAAATATCATCATGAACTTGTAGATATAAAACATTTGACAAATGATCACATCTTCAGCCAGGAGGCACCTCTTCAGGTTAGCCCCTGCATCCCTGACTTATACCAGCCACCTTTGACTTGTTTACTCTCTGCCATAGCATTATGCTCTGGGTTCATCCTGCACATCTCCTAAGCAGACCCCTCAGAACCATGTCCCCAAGAAGTTCTGGTTCTTTTTAGTGGGAAAGGAAAAAGACCACAATCTGGGTGGAGTATCTTTACCTTTCAATGGCACCCAACCCCGTCCATCCTCCAGTCACCTGAGATGTAAAAATGCAAAGCTGACCACTCCCCTGCTCAAAGTCCTAACAGGGACTCTGTCGCCCTCAGGACAAAGCCAGTTCCTAAGCACAGAATAGCCAGTCCTGGGGCGCCTGGGTGGCTTAGATGCGTGAGCGTCTGCCTTTGGCTCAGGTCATGATCTCCAGGTCCTGGGATTGAGCGCTGTCGGGCTCCCAGCTCAACAGGGAGTCTCCTTCTCCCTCTGCCTCTCCCCGTTTGTGCTCTCTCAAATGAATAAATAAAATCTTTTTTTAAAAAATAGCCAGTCCTGCTACTGTTTCCCCATTTCCCCCTCCCTCCCACTTCCTCCCAGTCTCCTTAAACTTTAAAATCCAGCAGAACCTAATGTTTTGTTGCTCCGGTACCTACTTCACCTCATCACCTGTCTCGCTTTAACTCAATCTTGGAGATTCAGCTTTCCAGGCAGGAATGTCTCCCACTGTCTCGTGGCCACCGTGCCCACACCAGTGTAAGCACCCAACGTCTCCACACAGCTCTCCTGCCCTGCTCAGCTGTGAAGAGCTCAAAAGCAGTCATTGCCTTAACCAGCTTTACCCCCAACATGGAGTACATCGTCTGGTGCCTAGTGGATGCCCCCATCTGATCACCTGCTTAGGCAGGACACTGTCTCTTCCCAGTGCAGAAGTCCTTCCCCTTCTGCCCCCCCACCAGTGCCTTCTTCACTGTACTTCAGGCCTGCACGTCTGCTAGGCATGGAAGGAGCTGCTGTGTGTTAATCTCTTCTGTTTAATCTGTATTTGGTGGGCTCACTGGGGGCTGGGGGAGGACCAAAAGGGAGCTCACTCTCCTACTCGAGTTACTAAGATTGGGGATGGGGAAGATTTTGCCCAAACCACATCACACTCCCTTCTCCACTCCAGCCAGCTGGAGCCCCAGCCAGGATGAAGGTGGGGATGGAAAGGATGACACCAGCCAGGAGACACCGACAGTGTAACGTCGCCCACATAGAGCAACAATGAACAGGAGCTCTGGAGACAGTGTGCCAGGATTTTTTGGACAGATTTGCCACCACCTGCTGGCATGACCTGGGAAGTTATTGATCATATGTAGTAAATACACCCCCTTCTTAGGCTATCGGGAGTATTAAACAAAACACAGAAAGCACCTTGCAGTGCCGATTTATTGTGAGCACTATGTTGTGCCTGGTAAGTGAAGGCAACTTCCCCCAAACAGAAGGCCTTTAGAGTCTCTGAGACTGGAGTTTTTCAAAGTCAGCAAGAGAAAAAAGGTTGAGAAGAGAGCTTAAGGTACACTTTCCAAGTTGGGGAGAGTGGCTAAGGGATGCAGGTATGTGGAATCCAAGAGGTCAACTGGGAGTAACCTGAACCAGTCAGGGTTAACAGTCAAATCCGAAGAGGAAGCTCTGTGTCTACAATGAACATGGCAACTAGAGGGCAAGCATGATGAAATGGAATAACCTAATTATAATGCAAACTGGTTTATAATCTCATTATCTCTAGAGACAAGGATTTTTGTATTTTTCACCGATGATTCTTATCACCTAGAAGGGAGGCTGGCCACAGCAGGTGACCAAAAAGACTTGCAGAACGAGTAGAGTATGATGCCTTTCCCATTATGCATCCAAAATTCCAAAGCCTGGCTATCTCCACTGGAACGGATGGCACATGCTGCTACCACAAGGTGCCTAAAGGCTGGGGGGTGGAAGGCGGGAGGACGGGAAAAGGCCTGGGCTCTATACTGCACAGAGGAAATTCCCAAAAGTTGTGGCAAACTGGGGCTAGAGTGGGAGGTCTACGGGGGGGAGGGGGGAGTCCCTGTTTCCTTCTAGTCACCAGTCTGCTAAGTCTAGATCAGAAACTCAATCCTGTTCCACTCCCAGGCCCTACTTCTAAGGCAAGTGAGACAGTACCCAAGCCCATGTTCAGCTGTGGCCTTGAATTTAACACACACTTACACCAGGAAAGGTTAAAGAATTTATTTTTTACAAATTAAGACTATGTAGATTTCATATATTTCTGAATCAAAAACACCTTTGTCTTCACAGTATGAGTTAGAGAATGCAGCCTGAGCTGAAAACCAAGGAACTAGAAGAGAAAGTTATAATTACAGTGATTACTGTATTAAAAACCTGTTAGGCATTTTCTTTAAAAGTCATTTTTTTAGATCTTGTCATTCTTGGCACTGTTTCTAAAGAAAAACTCCTTTATCCCAAGCAAAAAAGCACAAGAGGTGGAGTTTGGCTTCAAGAGATGTAACTCAAGATTCTCAGGCCTTGGAGAGAATCAACAAATTTACGGAGAGGGCGACTGGGCGTTTAATGGGAAGGAAGTCCCTTTATTAAAAGTTCTCAAGCCAGAGGCTGGAGGCGGCAGCTAGTCAGAGGGTAGCATCCTCGGCAGAAGCCAGCCATTCTGGGCAGTGCGCCACTCCAGGAATACACACACTCCCTGGGAACCGCTTCTCGGGGCGGCACGGTGATATGGTGCACTGCGAACCAGCAGCCGCTGGGTCAAACTGTGTGCTGCTTGTGCATGGGAGAGCCAAAACTGGTATCCTCCTGGCAATGAGCTGTTGATGGCTCAGGACCCTGCCATGGAAGCCCTGTGAAGAGCCGGAGCCACAACTGCTCTCCAGGCTGCCTGCCCTTCTCCGCCAGTGCCCTGCGGCGGCGCCCTGCGAAAGCGCTGGTGATCCCCATTAGTGCTGGCCTCCCACACTCACCGCCACCAAGCAAGCTGGAGGGAATCAGAAGTCTTGCAGGTTTGGTCACCTGTCCCTGGGTGGAAGGCTACAGATTTCGGGGAACAGGTGAAGAGACCAAAAACTAAAGTGCATCTGTAAAATGAATGTTTATCTACCGCCCTGCATCTCCGGCCTGACCCTACTGGCGTCCAGGCGGGAGAAGACAGAAATGCACTGGACTGTTATGAATGCTGCCTCCCGAGTCATCACAACCCACTTCTGCCGCTCAAAACAAAGAACCATTCAGTTAGCAGCGTTCTTCTCCCCCACTGCCCCAAACAGGTCCTCATCTGGGTCTGTCGGGCAGGATTAGTTTACGATTACCCCCTAAGATTACCCCCGGGCTCAACCATTCCCCTTCCCTAGCCTTCCTCTCTCCTGGTATCTGCACTCAAAGCCAGGTGGGGGAAGCCACTAAGCAACTAAGGTGATAAAAAATAAAGACAGGGGAAGTTTGGGACTTCTCTGCTCTCTCTTGCCATACATAACCAGCCTTTTCATAAATACCTGACAAGAATCGGTCTTTCCTTTGTGCTGAAAATCCTCCCGCCCCATGGATGGAAAACCGGCAGATTCCCTGAGGGTCAGACCAGGGACAGGGAAAGGGAACACGTCAATCCACATTCCTTTTGGGATAGCAAGACAGAACGGTGTGTTTGCCAGACCAGCAGCAGCTTGGGCAGCTCAGAGGAAGCAAAGCATCCAACAGAAGAGGCTCTTCGTTTTCTTTGTAGGGGTTGACAGTAGCTCAGATGTAATGAGCCTGAGTTACAACAGGACCACCAAACTCCTCTCCGATGGAAAGCACACCGCCCAGCCCCACAGGAACGTGCACAAACCACACAACGCTGAGGAAAAGAGCTAAGGTAGCTCTACCCAACAGTTCAGGTGCACCTGGTGAAGCTTGGGTAGAAAGCGGACTCCTGGAGTTTGCTCTGCTGTGGGTCCCACTCCTCATCGCGGTGACCAGCTGGCTGCCTGAGCAGAGGAAGAGGCTAGGGACGGGCTGGACAGAAAAGGGAGTGGGGAAGAACCCCAGGAATACGAAGCCAAACTCCAAACTATATTCTGCTAATTAGTTTTTTGATCAAAAAATTCAAAATAGAGAAAACCACAAAGTACAAAAGCTTTTCTGATGCTTTTCATTATCACAGAACACACCACCTGCAATGTGCGCGAAGAGGAAATGAGGGGTGGAGGGACAGAGGTCAAAATGGGAAAGGCTGCATGGTCATTTCATTTCTTCTCTTTCTTCTTGTCCTAGAAACGGAGAAAAATTGCTCAATTAATTTTTCGCATCTGACATTCAAGCTCAAACTCTTGAATGAGCCAGTACCTGGCTGCCTTTGGTTAGGGACTGGAAGGGAACAGGACGATAAAGAGGAAGGAGAAATACTCCTTCAGTGGGATAGGAACTGCATCTTAACCATCTTCCACTGAGTGTCCCTCAAGTTGCTGACAGACCTGACAAGAATAAAGGTGAAGCAGTTGCTCCCACTTCCACCCCAAGAGTACCCAACTGCGCTGCCTGACCGCTCCTGGCTTACTCATAACCACCACAGCTCTAATCCTAACCCGCGAAGGCTGGAGACTGGTAGTCCACCCTAAAATAACTACACAAGAAGCCAAGATCAACTTTCCATTAGCCTGAGAAGCATAAATCCTGGGCACAAACCAAAACCCAGAAATAATCTAGCCCAGTGAACTCTGCATTCCATCCTAGGGGGAAGCCCTGTGTATTAAACAGATGCGGGTTGAGCTGCTTTGGCGGAAACCTGCTTGGAGCTCCGTCTAGTCGCAGCACAGGGAAGACCGACAGCCACCGATCCCACCTCCTCACCAGCTTCCACCACCACCACACTGTCTCCTGCTCCCGAAGAAGGTCTATAAGAACCCTCCTGGTTTCATTCGTTGCCCTACTGCTGGCGTGGACTATGTTAACCATATACAGAATGCGTCTCTGGAAACAAGACTAACAAATGCATAAAACTGGTCTACTTCTGACACATATTTATAACAGCCAATATTAAACAAATCCCCTAGAATATCTTTCCCTGAGTCATAACCATCTTCACAGCCTTTAAATTCTTCATATAGTAGACTGTTTCCTGCTGCCCCTTAAGCCCCCTTTCTCTTTTGATACTAATCTCAGCGATTTGTTTTCCTTTGTTGTTGGATTTTTTTATATTTAAGTAATCTCTACACCCAACGTGGGCCTTGAATTTACAACCCTGAGATCAAAAGTCACATGGTCCACCAACTGAGCCAGCCAGGCACCCCTTGTTTTTTTTAAGGATTTTTTTTTTTTTTTTAAACTTGTTCCTTTTTCTCCATGGGCTAAAAGACTTCTGGTTTACCTCTTATGCAGCAGCCTGCCTTACAGTTAACCTGGACCTACACAGTGTGTCAGTTCTCAAATTTGAAGTCTACACAGATGCTAAGTTCAGGGGCCATTCTCTAATCCTCAGGGAGCAGGTGGACTAACCTTCTCATTCATAGCCAGGATCATCATGAGCTTTCTGAAGAGAGTAATGAAATCTAAGAAGAGGTCAACGCAGTGCCTGAAACAGAAGAACCAGATGACCAACTGGCATGTCCCACCTTCCTTTATCCAGAGCCCACAGAGGGGCAGAGCACAAAAACCCCACGCCCACCCCATGAGTGAGTTTCACCAACACTCCACCACCAAGTGTAACTCTGATGTCCGAGATCCTTTCCAAATCAACAAAGCCATGCAGCACAGGGAGAAGAAAAACTGAGCTTTAGACTCTGCAGGGCCCGCATGTGAACCCCAGACTATCATTAACTAGTTAAGAGACTCTGAAATTACTGCATTTTTTCAAAAGTTATACATTAAAAGAACGTGTATCTTCATTATTAAAGGTTTAATATAAAAATAAAGAGTAAAAGGGGAAAGATTCCTTTCTCCCTCCAAGCCTAGAGATAACCACTATTAAAAGTAAGGATAATTAAATGCATATTAGTAGTTCAACTTTAAAAAGAGCTGATGTCTTCCAGGAATCAAGGGAGCCTGCTATTTGGTGCACAGCTCCAAAACCACGGGCATCCTACCATATACACCCCCGAAGGTAGGCCAGGAAGTTCAGCCAGTGCCACCTAGGCCACTCTTACCCCTCCCGACGGCCACAGAAAGGGAGGCGTTCAAGACCAGTTTTCACTCACCAGATATAATCCTTATCTCCATTTTCAGCCTTCTCAATAATGAGTTGAGTATCAAAAAGGACAAAGCCACACATGACCACCAGCCCCACATACAGGTTTGCCTAACAGGAGAAGATGAGATAAGGTTACCATGTGGGAGACGCCAGGGGGGAAAAGCCAGCTGTGCCTCTTTTTGGCTCTTGGCTGTTTGAAATTAAACAAATGCTAACCCTACAGGCAGGAACGTTCTCGGGAACGGAAGCCTATGGTAAAGACCACATGACTTCCCTAGGCACAACTCTGCACTGCCCAACGAGAGTGAGCATTCTGGAGGATTCTTAGTCTACCTTGCTTTAGGGTGAAGCAAATACAAGAAGTACAAGGCAAATGGCTGCTAGAAAGTGACATGCAAAGTCTCACCTGGAAAAGCCAAATGGATCCAAAGAAAAGGTTCCCCAGGGAAGACAAGAGCATCAGGCTCATGGCTGACATCAAGACACCTGTAAGAGATGACAAAAAGCCATCTTGAATCATGGAACACTACATCAAAAACTAATGATGTAATGTATGGTGATTAACATAACAATAAAAAATTATTTAAAAAAAAAAAGCCATCTTGAGAAAAGCCAAAATGAAGTAAGACAACCCCATTAAAGCCATCCTTACTTACCCCCCACCCCCAAATTAAGGCTTTCAATTGCAACCCAACCATCACAAGAAGTTAGAAGGTAGGGAAAGAGTCCCAGTGTGAATTCTGGCTAAATCGAAACTCTCTGTTTTCCAGTCCACACTTACCTCCGAGAAAGAGGTAGCTCCGGCGCCTGGCATACAGGGCGCTCAGGGTGAAGCAGGTGAAGATCATTGCTGTGCCCATGAAGGCGGTGGGAAGAATGCTGTTAGAGGAAAAGACCATTAGACTGAGGGCTACAGGTCTGCAAACCTATATTTAGGAGGCATATCTGCAACGATAAAAAGACCTAAGATGCTATTAAAATAGTTACCTGGGGTTGATGGCAATGCACAGCTCCAGAGCAGGGCCTAGGCCAACTCCTAGAAAACAAAAAGCCCCCAAACACAGTATTACCATCAATTCCTAAAGAGGACCCTTGTCCAAAGCTGACCATCAAAAGCACAGGCAGGCCCATGCTCCTAAAAAACCAAAACACGTGTACTAAAATAATTAAATCTCTCTCTCCTCTATGTGCCTTAACTGTTTACTTGACTGAGTTATTTATTTATAGACAGAGCTACAAAACTGTTCTCTTAGATGAAAATCATGGATGGCCCAGGATGAAAACACATTAGAAAAAGGAAGCAGGGGCGCCTGGGTGGCTCAGTTGTTAAGTGTCTGCCTTCGGCTCAGGTCATGATCCCAGGGTCCTGGGATCGAGCCCCGCATTAGGCTCCCTGCTCGGCGGGAAGCCTGCTTCTCCCTCTCCCACCCCCTCTGCTTGTGTTCCCTCTCCTTGCTTTGTCTCTCTGTCAAATAAATAAAATCTTTAAAAAAAAAAAAAAAAGGGGGAACAGGCATGTCTGACATTTTTTGAGCAAAGCTGTAAGGCTGCAATACTCGGAAGAGGAGTGATGTGAGACTATGATGTGGGCCAGGTCAGGAACTGGAGTAGGAAGACCAAGAGCAAACCAGTGCCTTGTGGCCAGCAACCTGTAGTCATGCAGGACTGACTTCCTTTGTAAAAAAGGCCAGACCAGTTCTGGGGGTGGACACTTGCCAAGGGGAGGATGCAGTGGCAACCTGTTCCAGCCCCAACATTTCCCCCACTCTTGCTACTCTCTCTCCCCTTCTGGTAATTCTACCCCTTACTGCCTTCAAAAACTAGCTTTCCCTATTTTAAAATCTTTATCTCTAAATCCCTTCCTTTCTACTACAACACTACATAGATTAGACACACTCTAAACAAGTTGTACTGGGCGCCTGGGTGTCAGTCGTGAAGCGTCTGCCTTTGGCTCAGGTCGTGGTCCCAGGGTCCTGGGATCAAGCCCCGCATCGGGCTCCCTGCTCAGCGGGAAGCCTGCTTCTCCCTCTCCCACTCCCCCTGCTTGTGTTCCCGCTCTCGCTGTGTCTCTGTCAAATAAATTAATAAAATCTTAAAAAAAAAAAACAATTTGTACTAAGTCAAATGCTGCTTTGCAAGTATTTTTACTATGTAGCTTGAGTCCTGTTTCCCTTAATGATAATTCTAGAAGAGCTGTGCTTTTCTTTCTTTCTTGAGAATCAGCAAAGCGCTCTGTTGGATGGATTTCAATGTATGGCTTTAATTAACTGTCTGCAAAGTTCAGAATAAATGGTCACAGGAGTGATAGCTGCCAGTGTGAGTCCAACTAAATTAGAGTTTCAGGCCTAGTTTAGTCCCACGTCGACCATTAACAAGTTATGCTACCTAAGCTCTTGGACCTCATTCATTCAAGCAACAAATGCTTATTTTTGGATTTAAAAGTAGAAGTCACAGTCACTGAAGAGCTAATCCTCTGGATGGGAAAGCAAGATGCACCTCTATGAAATAAAAAAGCAATACAAGGCAAAATATACTCAAATACAAGACTGAACGGTACAGTGTGCCAGCTGGGATGAATCAGAATACACACAAACCCGGGGCCTTAGTCTACAGAGATACTAGATACAGTACCCCCAGTATCCCCTCTCCCACCCCAAATTAGCCTAGTTCCTAACATACCTGTAAGGAAAGCAAATCCAGCAAGAAGTCCCAGTCTTTTTTGCTCAGTTTCATGGCTATGAGGTGTTGTCATCAGCCAAATCATCAACCCCAGGGAGCCCAAGGCAGAGAGCAGGCCAGCCTGTCAGATCCAGAGTCAATAATGAAATACTTGAAAATACCAAATTTATTCCGCAGACCTAACTGGGATCAAATATTCATCTGAACCTCCTAGTATTTCCTTCTAACCTGGAGGCAGTGGAAAGGCAGAGGAGACTAAAGGGAAACTAGAAGCCGTGTAGGACAGGGCTAGGACCGTGGTGGATGCTAGAGGCTCTTCTGACCCAGGTGGTCCATCAGCTACAAGTACCCAAGTCAAACTATGACTCTTGCCCAAGAAAAAGATGAATCAGAGTGACAAGTGCTTGAAGCACATTCCAATCCGTAGGACAAGTAAAAATGATCCCTCTTTGATCACTTTAAAACACACACACAAATATATCTACCCATACATCGAAAAAAGACTGGGAGGGTGCTACAGATTTAATGTTTATGCTTCCCCCAAACTCATGTTTAAACTCTAACCCCCAATGTGCTGATATTTCGAGGCTGGGGGGGTGTCTTGGAAGGTGATTAGGTCATGAGGGTAGAGCCTTCATTAGTGCCCTTACAACAGAGATCCCAGACAGCTCCCTTGCCCCTATCAGGTGAAGACATAGCGAGAAGACAGTCTTTACACCGGAAGCAGGCCCTCACCACACACCATATCTGCTGGTGCCAGGATCTTGAACATCCAGCCTCCCAAACTGTGAGAAACATTTGCTGTTTAAGCTACTCAGTCTCTGGTTTTCTGTTAGAGCAGCCTGAATGGACCGAGACAGAGTAAGAATCAAAATGTTATGTCTGGGTGTCTTTATTTCTTTCTCATCACTAGTCTGTTTTCCAAATTCTCTAAAATGAAAGGGCATTAGTTTTGTAAGAAGAAAAATATTCTTTAAAAAAAAAAAGCAAGTGGGAAAAGCTGCAGGCAATTAGAAAAAGAAGAAAATCATCAAGGAGGTATGCAGACAGTGAAGTTCCTTCCTTCCTTTAAAGGTATAGCTGATCCTCGTTTTTCTCATAGTTACGTGCTATAAAGTCACTGTGAATAATGAATTAATGAATACTGAACAACTGCTCCTGAGAAAAATAAAGGGTTAAATTCTCACGCACCTCTGGTTACATTTTCTTCAACCGAAAAATACATGTTTTACATGTGTTTATGTTTAAGGACACTATTTGATATATATTGTTGGTTCATTAACCTGGAACTCATGGCCAACACACTCTAACTCAAGCCTGAACAAAGCTTACCTAACAGACATATTTTCTCCATAAGACACATCACAGTCTTAGTGTACTTTTTTTTTTTTGCACTTTCGAACAGTAGACCGCACTCTAGCACTATGCCTGGGGTCCATTTTAAATACTGACATCACCACCAAAATCACAAAAATGCAAAAAATGTAGCACTACACAGACCATGAAAAAGACCCTTGTTTACAGTACAAGAGCTTGAAGCAGGGCAATGTGGCGCCTTGTTCAACCTCAGCTGGAACACAGTGCCATGCGCAACTCAAAGTTTTTGCCGTTCTGCTTAGGACTGCGAATATCTGCAAAACCACCATGAGTACTGATTTCAGGGTTACAAATACATTTTAGCAAGTAGGCAATTCATAAATATAGAATCCACGAATAATGAGGATAACTGCATTTTACTACATTGCTTAAAAAACAAAACAAAAACAAAAACACTCACAACCAGAAACCAAAATGGCCACTCTTGCCTAGAAGGTGGAGTATGTTTTAGTCTCAACTCCAGGGATCAAAGTTTTATCCTCTGAGAATCTAGAGTAATTTTTCACACAACCTCTGCCAGGAGATGCCTGAGCATAGGGACAGTTCTCAGTAGATGCAAATGCCAACACAGACACACTCCTGGTACTTACACTGAAAAGGACACTTGGAGAGCAAGTCTTGGTTAGTGAGAACTTCAAACTTTTTTTATTATTTGTCCACTGTTCCTTTTATTCCTACTGGCCAAACCCAAGGTCTCTTTCAACAGAGGAAAGGGAGCTGTTGAAGGTTTTCACGCAACCATGCAGATATAAGTGCATCCACGAACAAAAGAGATCAAATCTTTGAAGGTCTCAACCCTGCCTCTCCTGATTATCATACAATCAGTGTTCTATATCTAAGAACCCCATAGTCACAAGCAAAAAGGAGAAAGAAGGCAGGAAAAGATAAAAAGGCTACTGTGCAAACCCCAGCACGCACTCCATCCATGACCCAGCAGGCTGGGGTCTTACACCATTCAGTGTCCAGGTTAAGACATTCTGTTTTCAGTACCTAGAGAGGACCCAGCTGCCAGAAAATTTAAATAAGGCTCTGCATGTCCTTAGTTACCAGCCAGCTCTGGCTGAGTTCAGATTGCAAACTACAGAAAAGGATTAAGGAGGGTACAAGCTGGCACCACCCTGCCGAGCTGGTTTCTACCTACTGAATTTGTGCCACAGCAACTAGGAGAGAAAGTGCTCTTACCTGAAGGAAATGAGTGACGACATGGACATAGGCCCCCACGGCCGCCACAAACATACAGAGGGCAAAACTGGCATAGACCTTCTTCAGGTGCTGCTGTGTCGAGGGGGTTCTGGGAAAGAACGTTAGTAACAGCCATCATTCTAGGACCAATTTCATTTCTAAGCTAATAATCATTTCCCTCTCTTCTTCCCAGGGAATATGTGTAAGTTATAAAAAAATATGTATTTTGAAAATAGATGAATTGAGAATCTTAAATACTGGGGAGGAGCCAAAGGTCCCATATTATGAACAATCAGTACCCAAACTAGAATAACTAAATGGTTTTTCAGTGACTACAGAGCAGCCCCTAGAATCTGGGTGCTTTTATCAGATCCTCTGGATTCTAGCAAAGTTAATATGCTAATTAATACATACAAAAGTTAATAAACTAGGAAAAGTAAGATATGAAAGGAAATGCAATAAGAAACTACAGTCAAGATCCAAACACTTACATGTGGGAAAATTTTAAGAGTGCATCAAAGTTGATCTTCCGATCAAATATGTTCATGATGCCAGAGTCTGTGGGACACAGCCTCCGCTCTGTAGAATCAAGGATAAAAAGAAGAAAGGTTATTTTACAGATACAAGGACATACAAAATAACATAAACAACTTTCTCATAAAAATAGCAACATACAAGTTTGGAAAAATGAAAGTTATCTAAAATCCCACTGTCCTAGCACAGCCATTTTCATTTCTATGCATTTCCTTCTAGGATACATTTGCAATCATACTCAACCATTTTAAAGGACACAGAGGAAATGAAGCCATCTTCTTCTCCCTATTTTGTTACTAGCATTTGATTTCTATTCTTTCAGAAAGTAATTTGTCCTTTTGATAGTTTCTTTGAGGGCGCCTGGGTGGCTCAGTCGTTAAGCATCTGCCTTCGGCTCGGGTCATGATCCCAGGGTCCTGAGATCGAGTCCCACATCAGGCTCCCTGCTCCGCGGGAAGCCTGCTTCTCCCTCTCCCACTGCCCCTGCTTGTGTCCCCTCTCTTGCTGTGTCTCACTGTCAAATAAATAAATAAAATCTTTAAAAAAAGACAGTTGATAGTTTCTTTAAGAAATTACCAGTTAGCAATTAGTTAAAGGGATCCAGTCACTGAACATAAAGCGATATTTATTGTTATTTTATTTTTGGGGGGGGATGGGCAGAAGAAGAGGGAGAGTCTTAAGCAGGCTCCACACTGGGCCTCCACCCTGAGATCATGACCTGAGTCAAAATCAATACTGGAACACTTAAGCACCCCTGCAATATAAGGCAATTTTATGTCACTGTATCAAGATGCTAGAGAATTCTCTCAACAAAGGCACAGAACCTCAAAGAGGGAGGGCTGGAGGGAGGAAGGAAGGAGCTGGGCCTGGTACTAGGTCTTGAATTTTATTTATTTTTATTATTATTATTTTTAAAGATTTTATTTATTTGACAGAGAGAGAGAACAAGCAGAGGGAGCAGCAGAGGGAGAGGGAGAAGCAGGCTCCCCGCCAAGCAAAGAACACAACATGGGGCTCAATCCCAGGACCCTGAGATCATGACCTGAGCCCAAGGTAGACGCTTAACTGACTGAGCCACCCGAGCCACCCAGGTGCCCCAGGTCTTGAATTTTAAATATATGCATGAAGGAACTTTCCATCCAATGCATGTTAAAACTGAACTGAAAGGGATTTACAAATTTAAAAAGAGAAAAGTTCCTCCATGAAAAAGGAATTCGTGCAGAAAGATTTTTTTTTTACATAATTTCAGAAATTTTCCTACAGAAGAGATGGAATAGTACAAAGAATTCCTATAAACCCTTTACCCAAATTTCCTGTTAATATTTCACCATATCTGCTTTATCCCCTCTCTATATAGCAGTATATACAGACTTTAAAATATTTTTTTCCCAACCATGAAGGCACAAAAATGTTTTTTTCCCAACCATGCAGGCACCCCTAAAAACTTGTGTGTACATCTGAAAACAATAATCAAAACCAGGAAATTAACACTGACACAATACTATTATCTGATCTACAGACCTTATTTAGATCTTGCCAACTGTCCCAATTATGTCACAGAAAGGACATTTTTAATTGAACTGTACCCAGGTTATATGCCATCAATACCATCAAGTTTGGCTCTTAAATTTTGTTCCCTCCTCTATTTCACATGCAATCCTAAATAAACACATTCAATCTACAGGGCTTAAAAAAAAATCTAATCAAGAATTTTCATTTTTCCTAAATATCAATCTTCCACAATCATCCAGATTCTTATTAGACCCATAATGCCTATTCATTTCACACTGACCAAAAATGGGAATGGGGTGGTGTTAAAACACAAAGCTAAGTAGTCTGAAAGACAAGTCAACTAGTCACGCCTATTCTAATGAGCACCTAGCCCAATACTCAGCAAAATCAGTCTGGGCAATAGAAGTTACAATCCCAAACGGACTCCTGAGAAATCCCGGGCCAGTGGAAAGATGCCATTCTTCTAGTTCACATGCATCATTACCATTTGTTTCCTGAGGCTCACTCTCTCACAAGTGCAACAATTACAATGGCTAGCTTGCTCTCTCTTGATTTCCTCTTTCCTTTCTCACCAACATCCTACTCACCTCAATTTTTTTGTTAGTTCTGTTCTTAAGGATGGATACAGTGAGAAGCTGAAGAACCTACTAAAGCTACTGCTCACAGCTCTAAGTCCCGGGGCTCTGGGCCCTCTTGATCTAGATGGTGCAATTATTGCAGGCTGTTGCAAGACCGACCACAGCCTTTCATAACCATGATGAACTCACATCCTCTAGAGAGCACACTTACAGGATGGCAGAATCCAGCACCTGGAAAGTGTCTTTGTTTAAGTCTTCCATTAACACCCTTAATGACATCCCCAGATAAAACTTGCAATAGTTCTGAAGCAACCTTCAGAGCCAAGTTTCTCAGTATTCACAACAACACTGAAGCACCTCTTGCTTCCAAGGCTTCCAATTTCAAGAGTTAAAAAAAGGAAGGGAGGGGGTGGTGAATGGGCATCGCAGTGTAAATCCTCAAATACCCAGGCAACTGTTAATCAGAAAGGGGCAACACCCTGTAACCACACCCCACTAAGTGAAACAGTGGGAGGGGATAATGGCAGAAACTCCTCTTTCCCAGTTTGCTCTGTGACATTTCCCGGGGGGTGCTGACTGCCTCTTAAAACTGCAGATGGAAAAACCAAAATTATCAAAGTTGTGAGGACAGGGAGGGAGTATTTCCCCATGATTTAGTAGTGCTTTGTGGTTTAAAATAAGTAAAAAATAAATTAAATAAAACCAGTTTTCTAACACTAGTACTTATTCTAAAATTTAAGTGAGATATGTAAGTACCAAATTTTCTAGATACAAAGGCACACAGCAGTTTTTATGAGAGAGAGCAAGAGAGTGTGCACATACACACACACAAGTGTGTTAGGGGGGTCCCAGAGGGAGAGAGAATCTTTTTTTTTAGATTTTATTTACTTATTTGAGAGAGAGAATGAGAGAGAGAGCATGAGAGGGAGGAGGGTCAGAGGGAGAAGCAGACTCCCCGCTGAGCAGGGAGCCCGATGTGGGACTCGATCCGGGGACTCCAGGATCATGACCTGAGCCGAAGGCAGTCGCTTAACCAACTGAGCCACCCAGGCGTGCCCTTTTTCTTTTCTTTCTTTTTTTTTTTTTTAGGGAGAGAGAATCTTAAGCAGGCTCCAAGCTCAGTGTGGAACCTGATGCAGGGATCGATCGCACGACCCTGAGATCATGACCTAAGCCCAAATCACGAGTCTGACGCTTAACTGACTGAGCCACCCAGGCGCCCCAAGGCACACAGCAATTTTTTTTTTTTAAAAGATTTTATTTATTTATTTGAGAGAATGAGAGAGAGAGAGAGAGAGCATGAGAGGGGGTTGGGTCAGAGGGAGAAGCAGACTCCCCGCCGAGCAGGGAGCCCGATGCGAGACCCGATCCCGGGACTCCAGGATCATGACCCGAGCCGAAGGCAGTCGCTTAACCAACTGAGCCACCCAGGCGCCCTTTAACGGCACACAGCAATTTTAATAATAGTTTTGTAGGGAAAAAACACAATGAAGTATACATTTAATAAATGACATGATATGTATAGGACATAATTTATTTCAGAACTGTTAAAACGTAAGAAGGAAAAAGTTAGGTCTTAGAATCAAGGAAATATGATAGTTTGCTCTAGGTCTGTTCCAAACAGACAAGAACTAATGCACAGATAAGTAAAGAGTCAAAACGATTCTTACAAGTTTTGCCAGAGGGATCAAGCTAAACAAGTTTCTAACTTACCCTCAACTACTTGTACTCAGAAGCTGCAGAGAAAACATATCTACATTTCAATGTCTATATGCAAACGCAGCTGAACAAGATTCAATTGCGTTCGTAACTCAAAAATAGCAGCTCCCAGGGAGCCTGGGTGGCTCAGTCAGTTGGGCGTCCAATTCATGATTATGGTTCAGGTCATGATCTCAGCATCCTGATATGGAGTCCAGGTCCGGCTCTGAGCTCAGCAGGGAGTCTGCTTAAGAGTCTCTCCCTCTGTCCCTCCCCCCCAACTCACGCACTCTCTCTCAAATAAATAAATCCTTAAAAAATAGCAGCTCCCATACCAAAAGTATTTTCAGTCCCAGGGAACAATTAGCTCCCAACAGAGCTTGAAGTATTCAAAACCATTAACCAAGTAACTCAGCTAACATTTCAAAAAGGCCCCACAGTTAAATGAAAATCTTTGTTTTAAAGACAAGACATTAGGGACGCCTGGGTGGCTCAGTCGGTTGGGCGTCTGCCTTCGGCCTGGGTCATGATCCCAGGGTCCTGGGATCGAGTCCCACGTCGGGTTCCTTGCTCCTTGGGGAGCCTGCTTCTCCCTCTGCCACTCCCCCTGCTGGCAGGGAGCCTGCTTCTCCCTCTGCCTGCCACTCCCCCTGCTTGTGCTCGCTCTCTCTGGCAAGTGAATAAAATCTTTAAAAAAAAAAAAAAGGACATTAAAATGACAAGTTTTATGCTATGTGTATTTTACCACAATAAAGGAAAAAAGTATATTACAAGTTGCTCAAAAATTATTTAATACAGTAGTTCCCCTAACACACATCAGTCCATTATGAAATCCATACCAGCACTGGTCTGTATCAAACTAGACACCAACTCATACAAAAATCTAGAAATTGCATCCTCTCTCCCACCCCACCCCCCAGTTCTAAATGTAAAACAGGGAAGTGGGATTATTTATTTAGAATACAATGTAGACAATGCCTCCTAGACTCATAAGAAATTTGTCTGCACCGCATTAAGTAAATGTTCAGACGTTAATCATAATCAAATTCCTTTAATTTGGTTCAGAGCTTCACTTAATGCCTTCATCCTTAGGAGAGCAGGAATACCAAACTTGACAGATATTCTCATCAACTAACATCTATGTCTTAGGTCTTGTTAAATCTCTTGTTTTGTTCTAGGTATCTTCCTTACCCTTGCCCTAAAATAATTATCATCAGGGGCCAAGCCGTGAAAACAACAACAAAAAAAATTCTCTAC